GAAATACCCAATGGCAGCTCTGTTACAAGTTGCATTTATAACTGTTTTTTAACATCAGTCAAGTTGCGTGTCTCAATACTCTATCTGTGACGGTTATAAAGCTTCTAATAGTTATTTCTGAAGTGCACCATACTATACCCTGCATATCTTAGATTCTCCTCAAGTAAGGTGTGAAGTCATATTCCTGGAGTAGAGTCCCTTATTTAGCATCTAAAACAGTGTTGCGAAAATACTGCCTCATTCTTGTGAAAGAATTTTAAGGGGATGAATTGTTTGCTAGCAGGAACCTGAATGTTTTGAGAAAATAAGTGAGGAGGCATATTGTTAGGAGGCATTGCAAAAAAAAAAAAAAAAAAAAAAAAAAAGATTGGATTTGATGATTTTGTCTTGGAGGGGGAAAAAGATTTGTGCAAGTAGAAATTTAGGAGAGAATTTATCAAATGTATCCTTGTGTGCTGGGTAGTGGTAGGGCAGTGGTCCAGAATTTGAATAGCAAGTCCTATCCTGTTCCCCATCCAAACATGCTTTCCAGTAAGGATACAGAGGTGGGAACTGAAGATTACCTTCCCAGCTGATGCAGTATGGGACTGAGGCTGTACGAGGTGTGTTGTGCCAAGCCACAGTAGAAGCCTTAGTTTTCAGAGGACAAGGCCATGCGTAGTCTTAACAGTCAGTGGATGGTCTCGGGAACATTAAACATTCATTGCTCTAGCTCATGACATCTGTATTATTTGCCACATTCATTAACCATTCTTAAAAAAGCCAAACTGTTATATAGGCAAATTAGTTAACGATCATTTAATGAAGAACATGTGTTAGAAAATTGCTCCACAGCAATTACTACTCTTTTAACCTTCTGCAATTTAAGGTTTTTTTAAAAAAAAAGGAGCCCCCTCCCCCCCACCATTAAATCTTTGAGGGCAGCATGAGCAAGCAAGATGATGCCAGTAGAGAGTAGAATTTTCTAAACTGACTGCTGAAGAGAAACCAAAATAAAGTCAGTTGCTAAGAGATTTGCCTCTTGCTCCACAAATTATATTAGATAGTAAAATATAACATACGTCTTCCTTATCCCTTCCTCCACATCGTTAATGCTTTGGGGCATGCATCCAGGTGGTGTCTCAACCAAAAGCACTGTATGCCAGCAGGTTTTGTTTTCTTTGGAAAATATAATGCTGTCTTTTATATGTATTCAGTTGCAAAGAACAATCATCCAAGTACAGGAGCTAAACAACAGAACTGCAACTTTGCCAAGGTTCTCTAGTCTATTGCTTGTATCGCCTTCACCCGCTAAATAAATTTATCTCACATTTTTCTCCTCTTAAGGATTACTGGCATTGGAAATAAGTGTGGGTTGGTTCATTCCCCATGCTAAGTTGCTGTTCTTTTATGGATGACTCTATGCACATCACAACTACGGCTTTATTGTCTTGAAACTTTATGGGAGTTAGTTTCTTAAAGCTACAGCTAAAAAGAATTTGTAAAGCACAGATGTTGGGCTTTATTTGTTTGCAGTATGTGCACCACCTTTGGTAGCCCCTGTTTAATTATCAAAATCTATGTGGGTGGCATGCTGTAGAAGTGTACGGTGCAACGGGGTGCATGCATTCCATGAGCAGGATCCCAAAAACCACTGCATCATAGTGTGGTTTTTTTAATAACTTCAAGAGTAACTAACCAAGCACTTTGTCTGTGTCAATTTGGACTCTATGGGACTGCTGCTAAGCAGAGGAGCTAACCTTAGACGTCTGTCTTTTTTTTGTTCAGGGCTTGGCACATCTCCATGCCCACCATGTGATTCATCGGGACATCAAAGGGCAGAACGTATTGTTGACAGAAAATGCAGAGGTGAAGCTGGGTAAGTAGGCAAGAATATCCACTTCCTGATGTTTCTCATATTCATTTTATTTCTTTAGAATGTCACATGCAATAGCATGTGATTTATATAATGCTGTTTATCTATAGATATATATATGAATTAAATTGGGTCACTGCTACAATATGAATGAGGAGACTACCTGTGTTTCCCTTCTTTTTCTAGGAATACTGGGATCAATGGATAGATTACTTTGTACCCCTTACTGACTTTGAATGGCTAAGCAGGTCATCTTTGACACCAGCATTGACTCTTCCATTTATTTTGAATTCAGAAGCCAACAGCAAAATGGGAATCAGTGGGTGTCTGTATCTGGCTATAATTAAAGAAGCATCTGTTGCTTGGGTTTGAGACAGACATCATACAGTACTTGCAGCTAACCTGCAGCATATGGCCCACATGCCTGTTGGAGCTGCTGGGATACCTGTTTAGAGCTGTCGTCATTCCTGGTCTGGCCTCTAGGCTCCAAGGCAATGTATGCTTTCGTGCCAGCATATTTTTGCCTCTTCCAGTTACTACACTCTTTATCATTCTGCATTTATTATATTATAAGCTTGTTGGCTTTTTTGGTTAATTTATAATTTGTTTAAAACATGCAAAAGGAACTCGTTGCCCCAAAATTATTATAAAGATTGATACTTTTAACCAGGTTGAAATCAGAATTGGTCAAATTTATGCAGATGAGGTCCACCAATGGCTATTAAACATTATAGGTAGAGCTGCAGGCTACAGATTAGGACTTCCTAGGTCTCTGGATGATGTAAACTATAAAAGGGGTAGGATCAGTCTGGACAGGCCCTGTTTAAATAATCTTCCATTAGCACTCTATCTCTGCTCCTGTAGGAGAGAAGATACCAGGATAGATAGACCAGTGGTCTGACCCAGTCTGGTGCTCCTTATGTTCTTTAAATCAGGCTGAAGCATTTCTGTTCAGTTTGTATCCCTTGTGTTGTACTATATCTTCCCTTTAGCTGAAACTGAAAGGTGTCCTGACTGGTGGAATGGGGACCTTGTGTGTGGGTCTCCAAGTGGGACACAATAGCTTCCTCTTAATTCTGTAAGATTTATTTACACAATGTAAATGGCAAGAAAGCCAAAACGTAATTACTACAAAAATGGATGTGGGTGAATGTGCCTTTGGTGTCTATGCTGATATATGCCAGTTTTTTAAATAAAGGTGCTTATATCTGCATTAAATTCAAATTGAGCAAAGCAGTTTTACCTGTATTATCAGGTTTGTGCTAGCGGGGAAGGTGGGGACTGCGCCAATTTAATAAGTAGGTTTTTCTGACAGTTTAATTTACTGCTGCAGAAACTGCGTAGATTGGTGATGAGTTGATATTTCTTAAATTTTACTCAACTCTTATTCCTGCCTATGCCTCCTCCATATGAATTAGAGTGGGAAGTAATCTTATGACCAGTTCTTTTCTTTCTGTCCCTGATTTTTGAGCAGAGAATATTGTAGCTCAAGGGGCAGAGCAGCTAACAGTACTACTATGGCATGAATGGCTGTGGAAGACAGGGTTACCCTGTATGGGCCAGTTCTCCTGACCCATGACTTGTGGAGGCAGCTGTTCTTCCTTGTCACCAAAACCAATATTGTTGAAACGGTAATCAGAAATGTAACTGAGTAGTTCTGCATTCTGGATGCAGTGACTGCAGCTGGGCTCTTGGTGGGGTATAATGGTTGGGAGAGAACTGGTGTCTGCTGCTATTTTTGTGCCCATCTTTTAACTTGGCAACTGGAGGTGATGTGTCCTGGCTGCAACACTTTCCCCCACCCCATCCTTGCTTACACGCTCTTAACTAGTAGGATGACTGCAGGAAGATGATCTGTAATGCAAGGCGCTGAAGAGCAAATTGTATATTGCTGGATCTCCCGACTATGTTGTGGTATTGACTATGTTTTGTCCAAAGAACAAGGATTCTGATTGCTTGAATGATTTCTCTTGGTTCCTCTCACCCAGAGCTTCCACATGGCTTTATTTTTCAAATCATTTTAGAGAAGTAATCACAGCATGTTTTTTTTTTTCTTTCACTTCTGTTTTATTTTCATCTTTTTCCACCCACAGTGGATTTTGGTGTGAGCGCTCAGCTGGACAGGACAGTTGGCAGGAGAAACACTTTTATTGGAACTCCTTACTGGATGGCTCCAGAAGTTATTGCCTGTGATGAAAATCCTGACGCTACATATGATTACAGAGTAAGAGAGCCCTGTTCACACAGTAATAAAAAGTACATCTGCTGTCTTTAATGGCTTTGAGTGAAGGCAGCTATTATGTCTTTTGTCATCTTTTGTGAGAGTAATTTCTTGTAGAGCTACATCTTTCTAGTGAGAGTACTGTGTATGGATCATTACCAGTTTATTATCTTTAAATATTAGTAAAAATTAGTACATGTATTTTGCAATAGCTTCTAGAAATTCTGCCCAAGGTCTCATTGTATTGAGATGCTGAAAATAAGAGTAAAGAGGAATTTTGGAAAAGTTGTTACATTGTCATGAATTACTATAATAATTTAATTTTAAGGTCTGCCCCAAATAAAGCCACCATGTGAAAGGGGTACTCTTGTCTGAGTAGAAGGGTTAAGTGGAAACATAAATGGAGCTGGTTAATACGTGTCTGGTTGTAGTATGGGATGACATAATTGTTAAGAAGAATAAATCTATCAGATAAACTTTCCCTCATCTCTACACACCTCCACTGTAACCTCTAAAATTGTTTTGACGTGCACCTCCAATTTTTGGTTTTCTGTGTTTTCTGCAACTATATCCCTTTAATAAAAGCATTCCTTTAATAAAACCTCAAGGTGCCTTTTACCTTGTTTTCATGGTGGCATAAGAAAGGGAATAAAATACAAAATTTGCAGCTCTCTCTCTTTTATTCGAGTCAAAAAAACCTCCTTAAACTGAATAATCTACTTGTGGATGCATAAACATACTGAAGCTGTAGTGAATTGGATTGATATTTTCCGCTCATTTCTCTGGACCAATTTTTTTATATGTACTTCAGTCTACTTGTTTTAAAGATGTAATTTACAATTTTGTTGGGCATGGATAGGAAATAAGGGTCAAGATTATTTTAAGATTACATTTAATCTAATACAAATTCTTCTCATGGGAGAACCCCCCCAGTGAATAAAGTGAAAACGAATTCAGTATAGGTATAGAATACTTGTGACTCATATTTGTGTCCATCTTAAACCACTGTCTCTCTTGCTCCTGTTGAATTTGGAAGGGTTTCAAGTGAATAAATATAGTAGGATCTATTTGCTGCAGACTTTACTTTAGATAGTTTTTCAAGATAGCTTGGAAACAAGTTGGTGGCAACTAATGAGTTGAACCAAGAGAAATGGGTGCCCGAGTGGAAATATTCTGGGCCTGAAAATGCATTTGACCAGATGTTCTGTTGCTTGTTACCTAGTGATTGAGCATAGAACAAGTTATCCATTCCAGCAAGTGTTCCTATAATCAAAGGATGATCAGGGAGTTCTCATTAACACTTTTCTCATAAAGCATTCTGTTCCTGTTCCCCACATCCCTAGTCCTTGTCAGAAACTAATGGAATTTCTGTCCACTCGAGGATTCTTTAGGAATTACATTTTTTCCCTTTGCCAATCGTGGGAGAGAATGTTATTATCAATAGTTGCGATTCATCAGGGAATATAATCATCTTCTAGCATAGTTGCCAGTCAACAGATTTCTATTCCGGGACACTCCACTTCTTCCTCCCCACCTTAAAATGCAGCCCATGTGAGACTGCAGTGAAGAACCTCCTTAGCCAATAGGTGCCTAAGGAACAGAAGTTGCTTATCACTCATGAGCTAATGACCATTGACCCATGTCAGCTAATGGCATGCAGAAATTTGTGCTGCCACATCAAGTACCAGTTATTGGACTAAGTAATGGTAGCAGGTTGTTTGAGCCACCAAGAAGCTGTGGTGGGCTAAAGTGCCAGTTTTGAAAGTCCTATACAGAAGTGTAACGCTCCATTATTAAAACAAAGAATTTTCAACGTACAATGCATTCTGTACGGACTTGCATTTCCGCAGTCTGGATCAGGGATGGGTACACACACATGCCTTGGTGTGGACAGGGCCAGGGCTGTGCTGTCAAAACAAGGATCTGGCCCCTTACAGCACCCCCTTGTCTGCCCCGGCATGCCAGCGTCTTACAAGTCAAGGTAGCAGATCCACTCTGTCCAAAAATGTTGCCAACCATTGGTCTAGATGTTTGAAACATGCTGGCCAGTGTTTACCTTTTTTCCTAGTACTTTTCATTTTTTGGGTTTCCTCCATTAGCAGAAGATTGCATTGAAGAATGCATCTCTTACAATAATTGTCCATGGGACTGTTTTAAAAATCCCCCTACTATTTTTTTCCCCAGGAAGTCTACATTTTGGGTGAATATGACCTGCTGTTATGCCTTCAAATATCTTACTGTTATGTATATATTAAAAATGTTGTGTGCATTACTGTGTGTGTGTATGTCTATGCGTGTGCAGGCATGCATGATATCTGATACAACATTTAGCAGCTTTTGGTGGGGTTAAAAGATTAAAGCCATTTTAAGTGCTATTACTTAAAGAAACTTGGTAGCTGGTTTTAGCCTGTTACCTGCAGTGTGTCAGCAGATAACATTACCTTATTATCTAAATGGGTAAATATACTTACTAACATATGGTCTCTTTCTTTGCAGAGTGACCTCTGGTCATGTGGCATTACAGCCATTGAAATGGCAGAAGGTGCTCCCCGTAAGTGATATGTATTCTTTTCCAAGGGGCTGATTAAAGTTGAAACTTATACTTAGGAGTTTCTGGTTGTAATCTAAACCCAGCTTTGAGGTTTCTGAAAATGTGCTGATAGTGTTATTGTAGTCTTTGGAGTTTTTTTTTCTGTTCTATAAATATAAAATACTATAAACAGCAACATCACTAAAGATACTGCAGTATTTTAAGCATTACTGTGCAGATTGTGATTATAGTAGTGTAATAAAAGTATTAGGAGCATTTGGAAGCTAATTGGTCTATTAACTTCCTAAAGTGGGTATGTTAGGCTTTGGAGCTATGTCCCTAGGGTGTAGTGAATACCCTTGCATGGGATATTTTAAACTTAGAGCAGAGAAAAAAAGGTTGAAAAATGTACTATCCTGCTTTGTCAGGTCTTTTACACTACTTATCATGTCTTTTTCATCTTTAATTTCCATAAGTCATTGTAGTGGTAAGATTCTTCTTGAACAGAGTGCCTTGGGTTTGCAGAAGAGGGACAGGGTAGAAATTGTTATCTTTCCTTTCTTACTACTTGCACAATGCCAAAGATTCTTGGAGGAATGTGATTTAGATGATAAGCATACATTCAAAACTGTTTGTGAAGAACTTTTTAATGTAGACCATTTGAATATATTCAGAAAAAAAATTTAAAAGGCCTCATTCATAACTTTTTGATGCTGTATTTTCTCTCATACTGGGGGGAATAAAACAAAGTATGAAGTTGAACCAGAGGACAGGAACTACATCAAAAATGGAGTTTACAAACTTTTGTTTTCACTTGAGTATACTCCTAGCAAGTGGATAAAATAATATTCTACCCTGCCACCCCAGTCAGTCTTTTAGTATGAAAACTGGAATGTTCCATTTAAACGTGAGTGTGTCAGGCTACTATTTATGTATGTAATAATGAAACATCTGATTAACAGCTGTGTCATGGAAATGATCAGATGGAGAGTATTGACATCCTTTTTAGTTATGAAATGCCATCTTCCTCTTCTAACTGTGACTTAAAAATAAAAACTGTTCAAATTGTCATATGGAATTCAGTTGTCGTGTTCCGAGTCATATTTTTTATATTTTTTTTTTCCCCCCCTTGGGATTGCACATTTGCACACATGCTCACATTCTGGCTGCATCAGCTGTTCTTTGACCATTTGCTTTGCCTGCAGCTTTATTTTTTTATTGTCTCTAACAACTTTTCTGTTGAGAACACGTGGATTTGTTTTTATTTATTTATTTATTTGCTCAGATTAAAGCTCTTATCGGCTCTGTATGCCTTCAAGGCATTTTTACCTGATGGGTATTAGCAATGCATTTTTTTTTTTTTTTATGCTGCAATAATAGTCCCTAGTTGGTCCCTCTCTTAAGATTGGCAGCCAAGGCCTTTGGGTAAGGGAATCATTTGCCCTGAACCCCCAGTGTCTTTCATAGCTGATTATTCCTTCAGCATTAGTATTTGCTCCCTTGGCAGAGAACTCGTATCCACACTTGCTGGTCCACAGGCATCCATGCAGAATTGTGGTTGTCTGCCCAGGAGTCCTGACTCCGCTTCACCTCCCAGCTTCCCTCTTCTTGCACTCATTGGCCATGCAGTTCCATTGGAGATGAGCTACCAGGAAAAAAAAATCATTTTCACAAGTGAAAAGGCAGAGGAGGTGCATTTAGAGATACAGGCCAAGGCTTCTGCTCCCAGCCTGTCCTCCCTTCCCTTTATGGACTGTGACACCACAAAGTACCTTGAGTTTGAAGAAGAGGTAGATTTCTGTAGAAATAGGTATCTGTCCCTTCCATAGGCCAGAGGGAGAGATCAGGTGACTGATGCAGACTTTTGTTTTATGGGTTTTTTTGGCTTTAAAATTCAGAGTTAGCAGTGGAGCTGTTGCATTTTGATTTAATTGTTTAAGGTTGTTCTTGTCTTTGCTCATCATAGATGTGCAATTGGGGATAAAGAACATCTATGGAAATTAAGCAGTCATGATACAGAACCATGCAAAACGGGGAAAAAAAAGCTGAGCAAATATATTTATATGTAAACTCTTTTTCCCAGCCCTCTGTGACATGCATCCAATGAGGGCGCTGTTTCTTATACCAAGAAATCCTCCTCCACGGCTAAAATCCAAGAAATGGTATGTAGTAGTTACCTATTTCATGCAATCTGTTTCATAGTTTCCTTTTCAACATAACAACAAGTATGCCATGAAATAAAGGAAGTACTAATTTACTGTTGTAAGGAAATAGTAACAGTTTAAGTTGGCTAAATCACTCTTTTCTTATCTTCTTATGGCATTAAATCAAAGGACAATAAGACATGATATACATTAATGATTTTTTAGTTTTATTTTATTTTAGGAAAATGTTGTTTTTGAATCATGAGACAATAATAAAAATAAGCTGCTCTGGTGACAGAGCATCATATTAGGGTGACAAATTGTACCACAACTCAGTCTAGTCTTTTGCTGCATTCCTAATTTGCAATATATTTTCTGAGATACAAGATGATAAAGAAACAAGACAGTACCATAGCTGCCTAGATGCTACATTGAAAGGAGCTATTAAAATTAATGAAGGCCTTCACAATAATTATTGCAAATGTTTGAGACAGCGCATGTGCTTGCCAGCTGAGAAGAGTCCATTAACATTGCAGGATTCTCTCCCCACCCACTACCCCTTTGTCATTATTACATACAACTGACATGTATGAAGCAATATTGTTTACTAGAAAGAGGTTTTATATAGATTGAATGTGGTGCAAGAGTACATGTAAGGTTTAAAAAATATGTCTCATGAATTCTGTGAGTGTGAGGCTGAATGCAGAAGTTCTGTCATAGAGAAATTACAGGTACTCCTCACTTAACGTCATCCTGGTTAATGTTGTTTCATTATTACATTGCTGATCTATTAGAGAAAATACTCATTTAAGGTTGCGCAGTTGTTCAGTTATAACGTTGCTTGCCCGCCACCTGCTAGTAGATAACTATTGTGACGTAATTGGATTTGCTTAACATTGTTTCACTTGAAGTCGCATTTTTCAAGAACATAACCACAGCATTAAACGAGGAGTAGCTGTATAATGTGATGTGACCATTTATACTAATGTATAAATAACCTTTTTGTCATTGTCATCTTGATCCTTGTCGTCTTGGTAGAGCAGTGCTCTTCTAGATACATGTATATATTTGTGCGCATATATGGACAGATGCTGTAGATATTAAAGACAGGAAAGCAGATTAAGTGTTTGCACACGTCTTGCTTATGCTTTTCTTTGTAGAAACCTTACTATCTTTAAAAAGTATAAAAAAACCCAAAACTTCAGGAAGTCCATTTTAAATAAGCTTTGTAAAAAGTAGAGTATGAATATTTATAAGATTTATTTGAGAGATAAGAAACGTTTGTTTTAATTTGTCTATTCATTATAGTGTTTGAAATCCAAACACAACAGCATTTTGCAGATGCCCAAAGAATTAAAAAGTGAAGTTGAGTTAAAATCAGCAGCATTTTTAGTTGTTTTCATTGATCATGATGGTTGTCAGAGAAGAAGAAAACTGTATAAATGCTAAAATGTGCAGTTTAAAAAAATATTTTTCACTCATTACTCTAAAGATTTTTTTTTAGAAGCAGAGGTAAAGCAGGATTTATTAAAACGATGCTTATCCTGACAATTTCTCTTTACCATAGTAGGCTGTAAGGACTAATTGTATCTTTAGCAAGATGCACTTTGATTTGCCGAACATGATTTTCATTGCTGTCTTAAGCAGACCAGGATGAGCCAGAACTCTTTAGAGAAGTTTTGTAGAGTTACACTGGGGGTGAATTTGATTCGCTGGGCCTGAAATGAATGAATTGTGTGACATTGTCAACTGTTGAAAATGTTGTTAAGTATGTTTGTTATGGCCATTTAGGTTAAAAAAAGATTAATTTCTTAAACTCCTACAAAGATACCTCAGTAAGGCAGGTGTGTATAAAGGCAGTTTGGTATTACTTGAGAGGATGGGATGTTGGCAATATTCATGTGTCTTTTTTGAACCTCTGTAAGTAGGGACCTAGCAAATTTGGGGCACCCGCTCTCTGATTTTGCAATCTGAGCATGGTGTCCAGCACCATTTTCAAATGGTCGTCTCTCGGTCTCTGGGGAGGGGCAGGATTTCCAGGGCCCCTCAGCCAATCAATCAGAGGTGTTATGGGACCCACTGTGCTCTGCCACAACGCTGTCCGTCCGCCTGCCCCCCCCCCCCAGGTTTTCAGGTCTCCCCGCCTCTCTGGTG